AAGAAGAAGGGTCATTGAGCTTAATTATTCATTTTAGGATGCTAAATAGCAGACTCACTTGTGATATTCAAAACGCAATTCTGGCCAAACATTTCGATGCGAACCATGGTGCAGCCGAGCTATAGCGATTACTTAAATTCACTTAAAGTCTTTTTTTTCTGTGAATCCCTATTATTCATTATGATCTTCTAAATAATTTATCTGAGTTCTTTAACCTGATCTGCATCCCGCACTGAAACCGGATCGTAATTAGTAGAAAGCTGAAAATGTCAAAAAAAACAACAACTCTGCGCTAGTCCACCAAGTCAGATAGATACACGGTCTTGACACGGAATATTTCCCGTAAATGCATAAAATATACGAAATTGCCTCCATCCTAGAAGATCTTGTTGACATGTCAACTTAGCCAGCCTTTTGTCCTCTCATTCATTCTTCTTTGAGATCAGTGAAATGCTGAAAGTATTTGATTATGCTATTTTAAAAGAAGGGGCAATATGTCAGTAGTACAAGGCTTCAGAGGGATGGGATAGCCAGAAACACTCTTTTTTGTAAACTTAGCAGTAAAAAGGTACATATTGTCAGCACAGGTAGCGGTAGTCTTCCCTCTTGTTTTGGAATTAGAAAGACGTTTGGCCAAATCCACGAAATTCATCAATCTATACACAATTTCATACCCCTTTGTCAAGTGGAGCCCCTATGAATCGAGATAAAAATACAAACCATCTTCTAGAAGGTCACCGGCTTTCATCGTCATAGGTCACTTACGGCGATGAAGGACTGATAGTGAATTTTCTTACATGAAATGATTTGGCCATGCTTCCAGGCTGGACTGATCGGCAGTTTTGATCTCACCTGAGTCCCATCATCACCACAAGCGGGAATCGAGCCAGATTAGCGAAGCGCCAAATTTCGACATGTTGTCGCTAGGCCAGATTGCCACTATGCAAAAGGGATTGAGTAGAGGTCATTTCCATCTTGCCGTCGACTGGAAATCGTGGCCATCTAGTGTAGTTATAACATGTCGAATCCGTTCGCTGTACTTTTCGGCTTCGATTCTCGTTGGAGATGCTGACGAGACTCAGGCGAGTTTGCAATTGCATTCCTGCTTGGAACCAAGGCTAAGCAAACATCCCTGGCAACGTATGGCCTACTCATCCCACTGTGTGAAAATTCACTATTAGCCACATATCACGTAAATTTCTCATTCACCTCATTCTCATTTTCTACCGTTAGTCTTGAAATGCCACATGAAGGAAATTCTAAATCAATAGTTCCTCCGACCAGAGATCATCTGGCCTATCCATTGAGTTTTAGTGCGCGAAGTTAAGGTTCACACTTGGGATGGCAACCACATAGCCACATGCACTGTTACAGGCTCTTCTAGGCTCTAGACCCTGGAGGGGGGTCTATGCGTCTGGACGAAAGAGACTGCGATTGGCTTAAAACCCCTTACATTCTATGATCAGGGCCACAATAGAACGCGTTGAACTGACGAAAGTTGCGCTCGGAACAATATCTTTGCATAAAAGCAGCCAAAGTTAGAGAATAAACTAAGTATTGTCCTTAAACCGGGTTATTCCGCAGAGTTATGTCACTCTTTTCTATCTCAAAATTGCTATCGTAACATCTGAGATTGAGTCAATGCCACGGTGCCGTATTAATCCCAGATACTTGCCAAAAAAGAGCTTTTTCCATAATTAAAAATGACAATTGGCCATTACAAAGCTATACGAAAAATCTAGATTCCATTGGGTCAATTCATAAACTGTAACAGTTTGGAGCTCGGCTTCTTTGTGCACCATCATTGATCGTAACACCTCTCTCTTTCACTACAAAAATAATGTTTTTGCATGTATGATTTTCTTGTGGGGCTTATGTGCTCTATGCCTTGTAGTTACTGTTATACTTCTGCCAAATGGTTTGTGTCAGCTGGTTGCTCGTTGGACCTGCAACAAGTGTGCCCTCGATAAAATAAAGAGGATTCTTGCACAGTTTCCAGCTAGTTACTTCAGTAGTGTATTTATTTTAATGGTAAACTTTCTATGCATACATCCAACAAAGTGATGTATATTCAGAAAGCGTTGTATTGCTTAAAATTCAATCTTCGTGTAGCATAATTTGACTAGAATAGTTTCATCTTTGGAAGCTTGTCATTTGCAAAAATCCGGTATCAGTCAAAAAAGATGCATTTCGAAACTGGTGCGTCTCGATGACAGACAGTCTCATAGCCTCGATAAAAAAATATTTCTACATAAAAGCATACCAACGCCAATTCACACTTCCAAACTTGGCTACTTCTCATCAATTCAGGTAGCCCAAAATGGGAATAATTGTGGAATTATGCTATCACTTCTTTCGGGGGGAAAGGTTTGAAATGGGGGTCAGCTCAAGAGTTAAACTTGTGTCCCCTATGATGAAGATTAAACAAATTCAAAGGCCAGGTTTCTGTACCCAAAAGCCAAAACCACCCTTGTGTTGGGTTGTTTGCATGATACGAAGCGCGTGGTTAGAGCCCGATGTAGTTAATGGTGAGGGATAACTTAGGAAAGCCAATCAAACTTGATATCTTCTTGTCCCTCATTTTGTCTACCCATGCTTCCCATTCTACCGGTTATTATAGCATACTCATTATATTACACGTTGGATTCTATTTATCTTTATACAAAAGAGAAATTCGCCATGGGATGCGCATTTAAATTTTATGCTATATTTTCGTTTGTTTAACATTGCCTCTAACAAATGACGATTTCCTTTAGCAACTTACAAGAAGGCCTAACATAATGATAAATTTGAACAAAGAGAAACGCATTTTTTTGTTTCAGCTGTATTTTTGATGGCCACTTCAACACTATTTAAATCAAATATGTGAGTTTGGCTGCACCTTCAAGTAAAGTCTATTAATTACTCAAGGTGCATGTTTATAAGATTTTTGCCTTTATAATTTTTCTTCAAATTTCACCACTCTTCAAAACATTGTCACTCCGGATTGAGAGAAAGCTAAGTTCCGGAGTAGTCTATACAAATTCGCCATTAAAAAGTTGGGATGCTCGTAAAAGTGGAGGTAGCAAGTCGACAAATTCGATTACAACCCGGCACCATTAATATCGATGAAGATAGTGAAATAAGAATCTGTAGTAGG